CCCATTCCCATCCCCATTCCCATCCCCATTCCCATCCCCATTCCCATCCCCATTCCCATCCCCATTCCCATCCCCATTCCCATTCCCATTCCCATTCCAGGCGGATGGAGGGTGGGATGAGCGAACCATCCCCGCGGGCTGATTTTGGGGATGCTCGACGGCACCTCCCCGGCCCCACATTCCCATTCCCATCCCATTCCTGGTGGGTGGAGGACAGGATGAGCAAACCATCCCCACGGGGTTTTTTGGGGGTTCTTGGCAGCCCCCCATTCTCATTCCCATTCCCAGCCCCATCCCCATCCCCATTCCCATTCCCATCCCCATTCCCATTCCCGGTGGCTGGAGGATTGGATGAGCAAACCAGGGGTTTTTTTTGGGAATACTCGGCAGCACCTTCCCAGTCCTGCATTCCATTCCCCTCCCCATTCCCATTCCCGTTCCCATTCCCGTTCCCATTCCCGTTCCCATTCCCGTTCCCATTCCCGTTCCCACCGGAGGGTGGGATCAGCGCACCATCCCCACAGTTGCTTTGGGGGTGCTCAGCAGCACCTTCCCAGCCCCCCTTCCCATTCCCATTCCCAGCAGGTGGAGGGCGGGATAAACAAACCATCCCCACAGGGATTTTTAGGGGTGCTTGGCAGCCCCTCATTCCCACTCCCACTCCCAGCCCCATTCTCACTCCCATTCCCATCCCCATTCCCATCCCCATTCCCATCCCCATTCCCGTCCCCATTCCCATTCCCATTCCCATTCCCATTCCCATTCCCATCCCCATTCCCATCCCCATCCCCATTCCCATTCCCGTCCCCATTCCCATTCCCATTCCCATCCCCATCCCCATTCCCATTCCCATTCCCATTCCCACTCCCACTCCCATTCCCATTCCCATCCCCATCCCCATCCCCATTCCCATTCCCATTCCCATTCCCACTCCCACTCCCATTCCCAGCGCACGGAGGGCGGGAGGAGCCGCTCACCCTCATTCCTTCCCCCCGGGATGATCCCCCGGGATCAGAACTTTTTACTCCCTCCTGTTCCCCCCCCTTCCAGGTTTCCTGCCGGATTTCCCGCTTTCCGCCTCTCCCCGCGCCAGGATCCGGCCTTTTCCCTCCCCTCCCGCCCCAAATCCCGCTGGAAAACGCGCGGCCCATTCCCGACGTTGCGGCTTCACCGCCCCCAACCCCTCCTCGCTCCGCGTTCCCGCAGGATCCCGGCGGTGCCTCCTCGTCCCAATCCCCGTTCCCTCCGCACCCACCCGCTCCAACCCCCCCGGGGAACCGGGAATTGCGGGGGGCACATCCCGGGATCCTGCCCTTACCTGCCGGCCCCGCGTGCGGCTCCGGGCGGTGCCCAGGTGAGGGCGTTGCCCTTTCCCGGCCTCACCTTTCCAGTTTGGCCGGAACGAGGAGCGGCCCCCGTGGATCCTCCCCCCCCCCCGCCCCGTTAACCCCTCGCTGGCTGCGGGGCGGGGTTTTGGGTGGAAAACCGGGGGGATTTGGGGCTCGCGGGAGGGGAAAATCGGGGTGTTTGGGGTTTTCTTTTGCGGGACGCGTTTTCCCTGAGTCCCGTGCGCTGGAGGAGTGGGGGGGACACAGCGGGACAACCCTTCCCCCCCCTACACCCTTCAGTCACCCTAAACCCGCCGGCGGGGCCCCCTCTGCCCCCTCCCCGATCCCAGACGGAGATTTGGGGGTTTTGTCGCATTTCCCACCTTTATTTCGGACGGGAGGGGGGTGTTGGGTTTGGGAAGCTCATCCCGAGGAAGGAATTTGGGGCAGACGCCCCCGTTTCCCGCGGGCTCAGGGGGTGCGGAGGGGCTCGGGGGGGGGGATCCTGGGTGGGGGTTTCACCGCGCGGGGTGTCCTGGCTCGTGTCCCGGCTCGTGTCCTGCTCCGGTGTCCCGGGACAGCCCTGGGAGAGACACGGGGGGGTCACCGACACCTCGCCACCCCCTTAAACCGCACCCAAAAACGAGTCCTCCCCCCC